TATCGGCTATCATGCTTCACCACTCATTTCTCTGTTTGGATGCTCTTGAAAGAAATCTATATTATCCGTATTCTCTCAAAGAAAGGAAACGCTCGCTTGAATCAAAGGTATCGCACAGGTCTTCGACACATGATCAAGGCAGGCCCGATACATCAACGGACAACCTACGCAAAGATATCGTATGATCTTCAAATACTTGTCAATCAACATCCCCTCCATCTCCATCTTAGATTATAGAGCCTATCCTCATTCAACACGCACATATATAAGAAAAGATCGACACCCTGTAGTACTGAGCAGATGGCCAACACCTTCACGCCAATCTTTAGGAGCAGAAATTTCGACAAACAGGCGGAGCAGTCACTCAAAAACATCCGGACAGGGCGATAAACCGCTTTAGTTCTTTCTATTTTAGATCCATTTATTATTTTTCTTATTTATCAAGCCTGGGGTACAAGAAGTAAATGTATGTAAAATAAAGATACTTCTCGGGCTTTGTAGCTGTGAATTATTTTCCCCCAAAAGCTGAAACATACCATAACTGAGAAGAAAAGCACTCGACAGTTTTGCTCCAAGCCCCAGGCTGAACATAAAAAGGTGTCCATTTGTATAGAGCACAGCCTATAACTTATTAATGACTAATGTTCTAGGAAGTAGTCTCTTTTAGGTACGTCGTGGACAAGACATTTTGATATGTAAAGCTGTTCCCTAACCTGCCTGTGATAAACTACAGTATTATGTCCCCATTTTCTTGTTCGCTTTATTGAAAGGGAATCAGTATATAGTCCAACATTTTTTAACGACGTTCCTAGAAATACTCTCCTTTTCATGAAAACAACAGCCAGTCTCTTTCAGCTCAAATGAAGGCAAAACACATTCCTCGCTACAGACGAGTGCGCTTGGTACCCCCTCCCCCTCTTTTGACCATTATCTGGCTCCAAGTGCTCCATAGAGAAACAGAATAACATCGAAATGCATGGACTAGGATTTATATAATACAAGCCTATGGGTACAGCTGCTAGGCCGTTACGGGTGTAGCATTTGATCTACTCTACACTGCAGATAAATGGAACTCCTGCAGTTGTTCACATGGAAAATGAAAATATGAGACGGCTGGCGGGTGTTTTCTGAATTTCGTAGCATAACTATTAAACTTATATCAAAGAAGGCGCCAATTTGGGAAACCTATTTGCTTTTTTAAAAAACAACAACTATGTGACAAATCATTTCTGAAACCCAACGACGAAACCAAAAAATAAAAGAGCCATCATTTTTCAATAGAAGCAGTCAGAAGTGATATTCAGATAAATGATTGGAGTACTTTGAAAAGTCGCATACATCAGAGGTATCGTTCGGAAACCAAAGCAATACACTATCAATTTGCAGCTTTTTTAAGCGCCAGAGAAGATAATGACCCCCGTAAATGATTTAAAGGCGGCGAGAGGATGGAACGATGAGCAGATCTGCGTTTGGCGTGAAATTCCCAGCGTTAAGCGAGAGAGGAGGTGCCAGCATCAATACAAACCCCTGTCAGTCCCAGCTGTCCGGTCTGGCTCCAGGTAGGGCTGGGCAATGAGTCGCTTTAACAAAATTCGGTTAATAAATTAGTGCACCTCTTCGGCAAATACTATGATGTGAGTGAACCGCTTAGGCAAATGGGTTAGCACCATAGCGTACTTTACTAGTAAAGAACGCCATGGTTAGCACTCATCATCATCATCA